AGGCCAATATTTCTATCCTCATTTTACAGACCAGGAAACGAAATCACAGAGTAACATGGCAGCTCAGTCTTGGGTCTGTCTGGTTGCAAAGCCTGCACATTTTCCTCTATTCCTCACCATCTCACAGACTGCTTCCCCAATGGCTAATGCTCTGTCCAGCCACAGATTGCGGAGAGAATGGAGTGAAAAGAATAGACAAAGACAAAGTTTGCTTTGCCTGGAGAACTGTTTTTCCCTTTCCATACGGGATATGGTTTTGCTTTTATAATTAACATTCTGCTGATGAGAACTCCCACTGGTGAAGGCTGAGGAGTCAGATTTCCCATGAAGAGCAAGCACTGCAGGAAATAAATTAATCTCCAGGGAAGACGAGGGGCAAGGCTGTCAGTACGCACACAACTGCCTAATAGGAAATGATATTGCAGAATTGTTCAAAGAATTTGAAATGACTGCGGGTTCTCCTTCCAGCATATTCTCAAACATTTAAACCTTCTGAGAAGAGGAAAGAAGTTGCTATAAAATGAAGAGCAATCTTATAACATTTTACTTCAGGCTGTCAGTAGTTCCAAAACTTAGATAGTATTCCCTGGAAATATAAGGGCAATTCTACTGGTGTCATTATTTTGTTTATATTATGAAAACACTGCATTGATGTTAAATGGCAGGATAAAAAATATACCAGATTTTTGGATTACTGGTTTGAAATGATCTAATATTTTAAATAACAGGTTTTCTGGTCTGGAGTAAAAGTAATTATTATGCTTCAAATTACACAATGCTCAGAATAACACTAATTGCTGAAGTGTTTATTAAAATTGAGAGACAAGACTAAGTACTACCTCTTTGTAGCATACATTCAATCATTCGGATTTCTTAAGATTGAGAGACAAGACTATATTTTATATCTAAAGTACTACCTCTTTGTAGCATACATTCAATCATTCGGTCAAGGTCTTTAATACAGAACCCTCACTTTGTCTAATTCTCACACTAATCCTGATGGGGAGCTGCCTTGTGTTTTGTTTTCCATCATAGAAGTAAAATCTGAAGTTTAACATTAGGATGAATTTAAAACTCAATATAAAGACTGCTTTGGTTTCCTATAGATCCATTCTTTACTTCTGGCTCCCTCCTTGACCTCAGTGAAACGTTTTTCCATGGAGCGCCTTTCCTCTCACCTGGTTAATTTACCATAATAAGTGTGTTCGTAGATGTGGGATCATCTCCATGTGAGCCTTACTGAGAGACGAGCAACAGTTGCATCACTCTGTGATATCAGAATAGGCCATAGAAGCAACGCTTTCAGAACTGACAGGGCATGAAAATGACCTGGCACACCTCCTATTTTGGTGAGGAAAATACACCTCAGAAAAGTGAAATATTTTGTGGAAGGTCACCCATCTAGTTTGCGCAGAGCTGGGACTAGACCTCAGAGTAGCTGTGTTCTATTTTCTCACCTAGGCTTCTCACTACTTGGCAAGTCTAATGTATGGAGGATGAGTCTTGAGTTTAGCTTGAAGATGTAGGAATAATTAGAAGAACATAGTTGAAGCTTCAAAAGAAAGGAAATTCCATTAGAGAATGCTGATTAGGAAAGTATAACATTTGTTCAGTAGAGAACATTTATGTAGGGCAAAACCAAACAGGCATATTTTAAAAGATGTAGCCTCCTGTTTAGCATCGGATCACCAGAAGCAACCACTGCATTAGGGAGTGGCCTACATAATAATCACATCCTCCTCACAACTGACTGAGAATCCTCTGATACCAAAGGACTGCTCTTGGCTGAAGGAAGCCACCTTGCCCACAGCCATGCCCCCTCCTCAGGGGCATCTGCATCCAATGACTGACTGATTCAGGAGCTGTAACGACCTGGTCCCCTCACCCCAACACAGGGCAATTCTGAAGAGCCAGGTTAGTTCCAGAGCTCCCAGTGGGATCAGCCGAGGTCTTCAGTGTCTTTTAACTTCTTCCTCTCCCCAGGCCTGCTTCAGTTCCTCTGCCTATGTGTTGTTCCTGAGAGCCCTCCTTAATACGCTGCCCCACCCAAGTTTACCCTGGGAATGGGCCAGGCAACAAATTGCTTAAAATAAACATCTGCACGTAACACACGTCACCCACCAAGAATGGCACAGGTGAAGCCTCCGCTCTCCCTGCCGCAGAGGTAAGATGGGAAAGGGGTCCATTAGGAAGTTTCAGGGCCTCCTTGTCTCTGCACAATTACCGTGTTTCTTGGACTCAGAGGAATCAGTGTCTCATCTCCAGAAGATTTCTAGTCCCTTCTCATGTCCATAGGATTCCTAGAGGCCATGAACTTCCCAATGGGATACGGTTCTCAAAGGGAAAAAATACAGATAGAAACTGAAAGCCTGCAAGAGCCACAGGAGGAGATCTTCACTTGCATGTTGCAGAGCACACCGCCAGGAAGCAAAGTTTTTCTTAGCCATCAACTCATAGAGATGCCGAAGTTAATTATAATAGCGAGGATTCAATTGGAGTTTATGGTGTTCTATACCAACTTTAACCTATTTTATCTAATGAAGCTTTTGAAAGAGCTTACAGTGTAGCACTGTTATTAACCCAATTTTACAAATAAAGAGATAGCGACACTAACAAATGGCTCGTGGTACACAGCCAGCGAGTGGGACAGACAAGATTTAATCCCAGCAGTCTGAGTTCAGACTCCAAAGGTTAACCACTTAATCATCCTACTTTCAGAGAACTGTTCTCTTAGTAATTTATGAACAAAACAACCTGCAGACTTAATAACAGTGCTCCTAATAGAACACGTGGTCATCGCCAGGCAACCAGAGTGAATGAAGGACCCACAGAAGAAGGTCATCCAGGAGGTGTGGGGAGTCATTTCCATCAGGGTCCTAGTGACAGGGGGATAGGGCTGACCGAGGTATATATACTTGGCTGTCCTCCTGGCTGCAACAGCAGAACTGTTGACATATGTGCATTCACAGTGAAACTTCCAGGTATTTACATTCAATCGTTGACATATGTGCATTCACAGTGAAACTTCCAGGTATTTACATTCAATTCCAAAAGAAGGAACTCCCTCTAGAGAAATTATTAGATACACATTCAAAGTGGTTCGACTTCATCTACCTGGAAGAAAAAGATCTAGGTGTCCAGAACGAGTAAAACTACAGAAGCTGGAACCCTGTCCTAATAAGGCTTTTTTAAAAAAATATATATAATATGCTACAAAGATTCTAAAACTGGCACTCTCACCAGAGAGAGTTTAGAAAATGACCGACTTGTGTCTAAGTAGTAAAAAGAGAGGGAAGCTCAGAAAGGATGCCCTTTGCCCATCTGAACTCCACAGTGGTGGCTGTTCAGAGATGAGAATTCATTCCAAGTCTGCTAAATGCTCAGTAGAGAAACAATGAGTCTATTTTAAACCAAAAAACATAAACTGTGTTACATGAGGTAAATGAAATTTGAAGAATAATGTTCCTGCTTTACTTAACTTTTGTGTTTTCACATATGGAATTGTCACACCACTCTAGTTCATAATGGAGACCGACTCTGTGATGTATTGTGATTACAAATGGGATAGCAAATGAAAACATTGCGCAGATGAGCATACTAAATAATTTCTGGGGGGGGGGGGGAAATTGCATGTTGAGATTACCTAACCTAAGTAACGGTTCATTTTACTCTCTTGAATAAAATTAGGTAGTCTTGCCTAGAACCTATACTTTAATTCAAAGATATTTTTCCTTAAATTGTCACTTGCAGGCAGTATGTTTGAAACAGGGCCTGCCCTGATCTGTGATATACTCTGAACTATTCATTCAGGCTGCAAAGCTGGGGCTGCAATGTACTCTCCCAGGAAGATGCACACACAGTGATAGGTCAGACAAATTTCCCTATAACTGAAACAAAAGCTTTGATTGCAGGAATGTGTTATCTGGTACTTTTTAGGATCCATCATCTTAGGGAAAAAAAATAGTTTCCTATAAATTAATGATGGCTTGAGACTCAACACACTGCAGCAATTTTTCCTGTAGTAGCTGTTTCTTGTCTAGTTGTACTTGGTTAGTGTTTGAAATTTGGAGGAATGGCAATATGCATGGTTTTCAAAGCCCTTTACAGAATTTCATTTTTATCACTCGAAGAGAGTCAATGAAAAGGTAATAAGAAAAGCTCCATGGGATATTTTTATGGGAGTGTCAGAAGCCAGTAAGCTAACTACATGAAAGAACAGATTGTACAGAGTTTCAGCAGCAACACTGCGGAGACTTCTTATCTAGTAGTGTGACTTTTACATGCCCTTGGAGGAAGAAAGAGCGCTCGCTACAAAACCAGATAAGGAGGGAGAAGAAACAAACCATATGCTTAAGAATAATTACAGTTTCATTTTTCTTACAAACTGCAGTGTAAAGTTTCAAAGATAACGTGTAATAGATATTGAGCTGCTTTGCTGTGCCTAAAATAATTCCCTTGCTAACTCATCTCAGGTTTGCACAATATGGAAGTTAGACTGGGTGGCTTAATTGAATGCTATCAACATCTCCACAAGTCCACTTGCTCCTGTTTTGCTTTCAGTAGAGGTGAAAACTATCAGATCACCCTTTCTATAAACGAAGCTGTGATATTTCAAGTCTGCACTAGATTACTTAGCTGACGCTTCTTTAAACGGAAACATCGCAATTATGTTAACCTCACCTCAAGACATTAAACCTTCTTAATTCTAGCAAAAATTTAAAAATGTCAGTGTCATGATAATACAAGCAGTCTTAGAATAAAGTACTTCCTTGGCCATGAAAACCGTAAGTGAGAAAAATCTAATAAAAAACAATGAAGAGACCTAGCATTAGTGTGAGTGTTCAATATTATGCTGCATTTAAAACTATATTCCAATGAGATTTTCAGGTCAGACAGTCACTTTGACTGAATTATATATTCCAAACTAAATTGTAGTAAGAATCTGTATATTGTGCATTTGTCGCGGAGGTGGCTGAAGCCCCCATCATGTGGCTAACGACCTGTGGTTCCATCGGTGCCTGCTACTGCCGCTGCTCCACTCTTGCTTCTCTCTTTCTCCAGATCAGCCAAAGCATTTTGACAACCAACTGGTACTTTTGAATCCAGGCCAGCTTGATGGGAATGAAGTTTCTTGGATATATCTACATGGAGACTCTGAAATGAGACAGGCCAGAGTGATTGATTTCACAAGTAAATTATCAGTCCAAAATAAATGCTTCCCAGGGATATGACAAGGGTAAACATTTATCAAATGGCAAGTTATTTCTTATATCTGGAACAGAACATTCTTATGTGTCAAAGGGAGTTACAAACTACATTTTCATCCATATATTTTGGTAACCTAGGTGTGGAAGTTTTATGGCACTCTAAGTGACTAGTATAAGAAGACATCTCAGATGTGGAAAATCATTTCCAAAGACCATTTGTATATGTTACTTTCTTCTTGTGAATCTTATAAAGTATTCTTCATTTAGAATATTTTTGCTCAGTTTTTATCCCTATAGTAAATAACCCTGCATTTCATTATATATTGAATAATTACATACTGTATAATGAAGAGATTTCACTTCTGTATTATTGTCATTCTTTTTATGAAACAAATCATAACATCTGCCTAAAATAAATCACACTTGTATCAGTATTATGCAAACTTTACAAAGTTCTTCCAGTCAATTTAAGCATAATAATTCATCATAACAATGAATTATTAAAGCATAACATCAATAAACCCCAAAATTCATCTCGCATATGAGATGGCATATAGTGTTTGATGTTGTACTAGTGTGTTGTATGCTTCAAAGAATCATCAAATAGGAGCCAAAATTAAGACCTAAAAAGAAAGTGAACTTTCAGCATTATGTTTCATACCCAAATTCCGACTAGTAGTTTTTCAGTTTGAATGTGATTACAAAATATTCAAAGATTCACAAAGTCATAATTACCCGTTTTGGGTTATCCACATAGCCATGTTGATTCACCAAAGGATAGCACAATGAACAACTTTTCTTAAGTTCCTCCTACAGTTTGTGTATAGCATTAAATTCATTAAAAATTTCATTGAAAGCTTGAATCAAAGGCTTTAAAGATTGGAAAAGACCAATAAGAAAATTAGGGTCCAGCATAATTACATGATTCACCCAAATTAACAAAATAAACAGTGCTGAGCTCCTGACCCTTAGTCCAGTGCTCCTGGTGCTATTCTATGATCCAATCATTCATATATTCATTCAGTGTGGTGGGCTGGTTACCGTTATGGCCCAATTCTTTACCATTCTCTGTATCCAGGTCCTGTCCTTGTCATTTTTTCAGTGCCCTCATACTCTGACTTTTGACTTGTCCATGTGACTTCCTCTGGACCCAGATGATACTGGCACATCAACACAAACAGAGACTTGACAGATGCTTGCATAATTGTTTTTTCTCGTTCTTATTCTTCCACTCTGCCATAAGAACATGCCTAGACCGGCCTGCTGGATGCAGACCAGGACAGAGAGCAGATTCAGGTCATCCCAGTCATCCGAGATGAGACAATCACAGCCAGAGGAGCCCCAGGCATTTGGGCAAACCCAGCCTAGGTCAGCTGAACTCCACAGCCTCAGGAACTAAATAACTGTTTTTGGATGTATGCCATTAAGTCTCCCTGGTGAGTAGGCAGCACTGTGTGGCAATAGATAATGAGTACATCAACAACCATTCATCTGTATTATCCCAGGTCCTGGCTGCAGCGTGAGAATACAAATAGGACTCACATAGTCTCAAGCTCTGTAAGTCTTTCTGGTGAGTAGGCAGCAGGGTGTGGCAATAGATAATGAGTAAGTACATCAACAGTCATTCATCTGTATTATCCCAGGTCCTGGCTGCAGTGTGAGAATACAAATAGGACTCACATAGTCTCAAGCTCTAAATCATTCAAACAGAATTTCTTAAATTGTTTAAGCAGAGATTTAAAACACAGTGTGGTACATCACAGGTAAATAATTCTCCAATTCCTTTTCTAATGACAAAAGGAGGGATCCTGGTGACACTTCCAGTGACAAATCAGGTCAGAGTCCGAGTGTTGGTATTTCTGGAACCAAACCACTACACTTGTTTACACTTGACTCATCCACAGCCCACAAAAACGTAAGCCCATTACTCACCATGAGTTTATAAATTTATTACCAGGCTTTCACTATATCCACCAGCCCTCTAGGCTCTTTCCCCTTCTTTCTCTATGCAGCATCCATCCTACTTCTAAAACCAGATGTCAGACATTACCCTGTTATCTCTCTGCAGCATTTAACATGTCTGGTCACTCCCTTTCCTGTTTCTGGTGTCCCTCTTACCACTCTGACTACTCATTCTTGGATTCCATTGACTGTTAAGTGTTCCTCAAGATTTGTTATTGATCTAATTATTTTTATTAACCATCTCTAGATAATTTCAACAATTATATGGCTTAATTTACCAACTACATGTTATAACTCAGGGGAGGGGCCAGATTTATGAAACAAGATGAGGCAGAGCTTGTATAACATGATAAGCACTCTGGACTCCAACTCTAATGTCCTTTATTTAGTTCTACAATCCCACCATTCTTCCTTCCCGATGTAAGGCGTGGCTATTCCATTTACCTAGAACATTATCACAAACTCAAGACTTCCTTCAAGGTTTCCCTTACCATGTAGACTTTAGCCAGAACCTTTGTTTTCTAGTCTCTGAGCACCTTGTCCTTGTACTGCAAAGCAGTTTTCACAAATACAATGAAATAACACCTGGATTAATGTTTAATGTCTATCTCTCTGGTTAAAAACATAAACCAACTAGAATAAGGACTATATCTGTCCTATTCAATGTTCTCAGTTCTTATCTCAGTGTTTTAAATACAGTAGGTATCAAATAACTACATCCTATATAATAAAAGGCTAATATGCAAATCGACTGAACAGTGGAACGACCGGTCACTATGATGCGCACTGACCACCAGGGGGCAGACGCTTAATTAGCAGCTGCCGCCTGGTGGTCAGTGTGCTCCCACAGAGGGAATGCCGCTCAGCCAGAAGTGGGGTTCATGGCTGGTGAGTACAGTGGCAGTGGCAGGAGCCTCTCCCGCCTCCGCAGCAGTCAGGCATCCCTGAGGGCTCATGGACTGCGGGAGAGCGCAGGCAGGGCTGAGGGACCCCCCTCCAGTGCACGAATTTCATGTACCGGGCCTCTAGTATTAAATAAATGGAGAAATGTTTGAATAATATAGACTCAAGTTTTACAACTTTTTCTTTGTCTAGCTTATCAATGGCTACTACATACTCACATGTTCATATGTTAAGCATGATATACAGTCACTAACAGTAGTCATTATATAGTAGAAAGGCACACATATTTGAACTTATTTTAGTCATTAAAATACATATTGAAAATCTTATGTTTTTAAATAAACTCATCGATGCAACTGTTGCAAGTACTATAGTCATATAATATTCCATATACGTCTCAGGTTCAAGTTAGATTAGTCACTATATATTGAAATTATAAATCAAAGAATGGTTATAAAAGGGAAAGTGAGGGCCTGAGAACTGAGTATGTATATACAGTTGCTCTATATTACTGAGGCACAAGATTGTGGCCTGACAATAATGAAAGAAATAAAATTCTATGTCAGGCACTGCTTTAGAGATGTCAAGCCTTCAACCTGAAGATCAGGTACAGAAGAAAATGAGAAAAATAAAATGTGTGCAAAGAATAAAGAAGAACACCAATAAATTTGAACTGGCATGCATCAGGCCTTTGTAACCACTCTAGAGTTGTACTTTAAAAATAAATCCTGTTTATTTTGTATAATTTCCACTTAACTTGTCATTAGAAATGAGTCATTAGAATCCTGTCTGTTAATAAAAAGCAACTGTTAAATTATTTCTCATGTTTTTCTTGGCTTGTAGTTTGCATACTGCTTTTAGTGTTCCTGCTGAAAACAATGATTCAATTACAAGGTACTGAGTATTTTTCTCATGAACAAAGAAAGGAACAAATAAACATTACCATAAAATAAGATGTCCATGAGAAAAATTAAAATATTTCTTCATATCTATCATTCATCTCTCAAACCGTTCATTGAGATTCCCAGTGCATGATTATATCCACGTGTGACCCTTCTCCCCAAGGGTACAGAAAGCTTGCCTTTCCTCAGAAAGCCACATATAGCCTGTCTTGGCCCAAGGACTAAATATCATCCACATTTAAAACAACATGAAGTATCCTAGATAATGTACTTCACTTTTTACTTTGTAAAAAATCACTCAATCTCCTAACAGACTAAAAAAACTACCTCCTCCTCTGCTTATATAAACAACTGCTCCTTTCATGCCTGTACTTTTTATTTTATCAGAAAAGTAAATTCAAGTGATGTTTGGGAAGAAATTTCTCAGTAACTTTCTTCCTCAGAATTAAATTCTACTTGAATGAAGAACAACAGAAACAGAAATTCAGAAACTCCATATTAAAATAAATAAATAAGATGAAAATCCAACCATAAGAAGTATAGGTTTGCGATGCACATCATCAAATTATCATTCCAGGAGACCATGTAACCCTCATGCAATCTGTCTTCTAATGTGTGTGTGTGTGTGTGTGTGTGTGTGTGTGTGTGTGTGTGTGTGGTGTGTGTGTTTTCTCTTTTTGTTTGTTATATAGCTATATCACTGTAAATACTTTATAAGATTATCAAGGGTTTAAAAAAAATCTCATAATATTCTCATTGTGCATTATAAATAGAGGCAAATGTTGTTGTTTTTCCTGAGGAAAATGTTTAAACAAGCGAGAATGTGAAATGAAAAAATAATCTAAAGTTGATCACCCATAAAAACAGGCGTCTCTTTCAGATGGTTATCTAATTTTTATACAATTATCCATCTATACTCATAAGCTGTCTGTTCTGCACAGAATGTTCTTTATACCAACTGAAAAAACATGACGTTGAGATTGTTCCACCCAGTCCTAAAGACAAGCTGTCATTGACATCGTTCCTGTCCCTTGCAGCCTGAGGTTGCTTGCAGAGAGGCTGCCCAGGAATGTGATTGGCAGGCCTTATATTATGGGCTCCTTAGAAGCACATTTTTATCTCTCTCACTTCTCCTAAAACATTAGACTGTGGCCCTCCCTGGTGAGACTCCTTGCTGGAA